TATATATATATATATATATTTAGTCCACATTATTGTCTGCCTCTTATCCCTACAAGATTGGATGTTTAACTAGAACGAACTAATCTTTTGTGGACATAGCCAACGCAGCAGTGCTTTGGTCTCCATCTATTAGGTAGGTCATCATGTACTGTTCCATAGGAGCCATTTATTTCTACACTTTTGAAACTTTATTATATCACTTTGATCAATCAAGGCTAGCTAGCTCCTATTCCATCCAATCAATATGAAAGATCAAGCGAGCATAATTGAAGGTTAGGGTTGATTTGATCTTCAATGATCATGGATGAGAATAAAGAGTTGGAAATACAATAGCTTAGAAAAATTTTAATTTTAAAAGATGTATAGATATTGATGAAGGACAATAACGAAGAAAAATTTTTATAGGACTTTTCTGAGAAATGTTGTGTGCTAGAAGATTCACGAAAGTAGATTAAGAAATTAGAATCTTAGTGTTGCATGTAAATCTAACAAACATATAGATAAAAGAAAAGTAGCGGGAGGAGATACCATGATTCTTTTGTGGATGTGCTAGAAGATTCACGGAAGTAGATTAAAAAATTAGAATCTTAGTGTTGCATGTAAATCTAAGAAACATATCGATAAAAGGGAAGTAGCGGGAGGAGATACCATGATTCTTTTGTGGAATATTTGGGCGGGAAAAAGTCATGGGGCCTAGCCCAGTCGAAGTAATCCACTATGTAATTTTGAGTACTTAGGTCCACTTTTCTCCTAAATTAGGAAAGATGAAATTCAACAAATATATATATAATAGTGGCCTGACTTTAATAACCATACATGGGCTATAATAAATGTAGTTCTTGGTGGTTGTAATAGCCTCAGTTTGTCGTAGAGACCGTAGTTGAAAGCTGTAGTAGTTTTTGGTCATATAATTAGCTGTTGGTAGCAACTGAATCATTGGTTAGCCACAATGAGAGAAGCAATATCATTAGTCGGCCACCAAGGATGTAGTTAGAAGCTATGTTAAAAATGATCCACATTGAACATAGTTGGAAGTTGCAAGAGTTATGAGTCATGTAGGCCGTAGATTGTTACCTAGGTTGTAATGATGATTTGTGATAGTATTAGTTGTCCACAGAGGCATTAGCGGAGTGTTGTAATGATAGTGGTTGACGACGTAGATCGTAATAGGGAGCTGTACTGACATCTTTAGCCCATAGAGGTTCAAGTTGGGAGTTGCAAGAGCTATAAGCAATTTAGGTCGCGGTTGGTCATGTTCACCGTAGTGGTTAGCTACAATAGTGTTAGTTGGTCACATCGGCCATAGCAGAGGGTTGTATGATGATTTTCGGTCACGTAGATCATAGTAGGGAGTTGCACTAATATTTGTAAGCGATAAAAACTAGAGTTGGGAACTGCATGAGTTGTGAACCACATAAGTCATAATTTGTTACATGACCCATGATAGCGAGCTGCAATAATGTCTATAAGCTATAGTGGCCATATTTGAAAGCTGCAATAACATCCATAAACTACAAAGATTGGAGTTGGGAGCTATGTGAGCTATGATCCACATAGGTTGTAGTTAGTCATATAAGCTATAGCGGTGAGCTGCAATAATATTCTAGGCCATAGGGGGCTAAGTTGGGAGCTATGAGCAAATTAGGCTATAGTTGGTCACATAAGCTATGTTACTGAGCTAAAATTACTTTTATAATCCATAAAGGTCAGCATTGGGAGCTGCAATAATGTTTGTAGGCCATAGATACCGAAGTTGGTAGTTGTGTGAGATATAAGCTATGCATGTTGTAGTTGATCATATAGGTTGTACTGGTGAGCTGAAATAACATTCGTAGACCGTAGGGTCTAGAGTTGAGAGTTATGCGAGCGATGTGCCATATAGGTTGTAGTTAGTTACATAAGCCGTGATAGTAAGCTGCAACAATGTTCGTAAGCTATAAAGGCTAGAGCTAGGAGTTAGAATATTGTTCGTAAGCCACAAAGGTAAAAGTTGGAAGTTGCATGAGTTGTAAGTCACGTATGTATTAGTTGGTCACATAGGTCTTAATGGTGAGCTGCAATAACATTCATAGGGCATCGGGGTCGGAGTTGGGAGCTACGTGAGCTGTGAACCATATAGGTCGTAGTTGATCTCATAAGTCATAGTGGTTAGCTACAATAATGTCCGTAGGCTATAAAGGTCAAAGTTAGAAGTTGTGTGAGCTTTAAGCCACGTAGACCGTAGATGGTCACATACATGGCTATGATGGTGACCCGCAATAATGTCCGTAGACTACAAAAGCCAGAGTTGAGTGCTTCAACAACATCCCTAAGCCATAGAGCATGCAATTGGGAGTTTTGTAGACTGTGAGATATGTAGGTTGTAGTTGGTCACATAGGTCATGGTAAGGAGCTGTAAGTGTGTCAGTTGGCCACCAAAACCAAAGGGGGAAGCTACAAGGAGAGACTTTAGAAATCTAGAGAAAGTGGTAATATCCGGAGTGCGACGGTCGTAAGTAGTTGTTGTTGGGATTTATTGTCGGATTTTTAATATGATGTTATTTGTTACCCCATATTGAGACTATGTTGTTATATTGAATTCAAGGTGTGCATTACACCATATTCGGTGTGTTGTTACATTGTCTTTGGGGAGTATCGTTACACTGCAACATTTGTTCTGACTCCGCAAGGTGCATCATTGGCGATGAGAAAGGGGTGATCGACAATGTTTGATGGTGGCCAACGAGCGGTGATTGACGGTGTTCAGTGGCTATGAGGGCAGGAAGTGTTTACCGGATATTTGGTCCAGAACAATACTGAAACCCGAATCATTTTCTCGGTCCAGCTCCAGGTATATTCTTCCTCCATTTCATCAAGGGAATAGGGTTCTATCTATAGATTTTGGAAGCGGCATCCCCTAAAAATAAGGAAGGAATCTAGAACATTCCTTGGAATGGCCAAGGGTTATTCATTTAATCGGATGGCATTTTTCTAGACATTTGAGTGTCTTAATGGTGTCATAATTAAGTGATCTTCGGCATCCCCTAAAAATAAGGCAGGAATCTAGAACATTCCTTGGAATGGCCAAGGGCTATTCATTTAATCAGATGGCATTTTTCTAGACATTTGAGTGCCTTAATGGTGTCATAATTAAGTGATATTAAACTCACTAGATTCGTCTCATCGAGACGCTTGATTCCATTATAATCTCTTTAAATTTGAAATTCATTTAACCCCCACTAGACCACCAAATCTTTTAAATGTGTTTTAACAGCTTGATCCGGGCTTGATCTGAGTCATATTGAATCAATTTTGGTGTCTTTAGTTCTGTCTCATCGAGCCGGTCAATTTGTCGTTAAGTTTAATGAAATTGGTGTTCTATATGATTTTTAATTTGAGTACAAATGTTTCTTGCTAAAAAATATCTCAGATGCCAAATGCTTCGAGATTTGTGTCAAATAATAAATTTGTTATTGATGTATGAAGTTGAATAAATCTTGGGGTCATTTACTTACATATCACTTCATTCTTATATATTTGCATATCTAACGCCTAACTTTCATATTTACATGCATGCCAATCAATTATTTGAGATTACACAGAAAATACACAATTTCATCCATAAATTTTAGCACCAAAGAGTTATAAGTGTAAATATATAAGAATTGTGAGATATTGTGTAAATTTTCTAAAATTTTAAGAGAGGAAACAATGGAGTTGGGGATTTGAATAAATGTAGTTCGCTTAAATATCAAATCACATAAAATGTTCAAGGAATCTAAATTTGCTCCATAGTTATGAATCTAAAGTTGGTCAATCAATAACAAATGCACCTAAAAACTAATTTGGATGATTTTAATCTATCTTAAAATCGTACGGCTTGATAGTTCTCCTAATTGTTGTTCTTAGGATTTGAAACACTAGTTTGGAAACTTTAAAAGCTGCCTTATATTTCGCACATGTTTCAATTTGGGTTGTTTGGACGGCAACATTAGGAATGTATTGCCTTCTTAATGCAGGAGTAATGAAATGTAAAATATTATATGTCGCCCCGTAAGTTGCCTCTGTCTTGAGAATCGTATTATTCATCTGTTAGTTCTCCTGATTCTTTCCCTTGGTTGGTTTTGGGTTGGCAAACTTTATCTGAGACGAGCTAGTCTTTCTGATGGTATTGTTCCTCGTTGTTGTGCCTCAACTTGACACAGTCCTTGTTGTGGTCTCTCAGGAGGCAACACTCATGGTGTTGTTCCTTTGCCGATCTTGGAGGATTTTGTTGTACTACAATAGTTGTTCCATCTGGATGCTCTTAATGACTCACTGACTTGGAGGATCCTGAATGAGTTCTTATTCCAGAACAGGCTCGGAATGCTTCATGTAAGTCTCACACCTCCATCAACGAATTTTTCATTTATGTTATCTATTTATTTGCAAATTCTCTGGTGATATTCATCATTTTCTTCTACAACCTCAAAGTGACGCAAAAGAGGATTTTGTCTTCAGGGTCTGAGTGTGTTACCCACGCTCACCCCACTCTTCAAGATGTTGAATCATTTTTGGGACGAAACCAAGGTCCTGTATATTCACGGTACCACATGATATGGTATAAAATCCTGAGAAACTCTTGCTTGGAATTGTAGAAGAGATCTCCACGAAGTCTTGGTGGTCCAGAAAGAAGCTCCAGTGGTCGTCCCTCTCTCTCCTATGTTCCCCCCTTTTGTTACATATCAGAATGGAGCACTTTAATGAAATAAGACTTTTGCTTAGGAGAATGACTAGAGATTGATGAAGTGATAGTCTCAGTCATCTCGATTAATGGGTTTTGTGCTAGAAAATTGTCAAAAATATTTACTCTTATGCAGACATAGCTTCCAACTATACCGAAACATTTCAAATAATCAAAGCTCGAAGGTGAATCAATCATCTCAGTGAGTTAATATATTCAAAAATCGGAAAAGTTGATAGACCAGCTCAATCTGTTCGGGTGATTGACGATTCGATTCTTTATATAAGAAGGAGTGTGTGACTGACTCGGTGATTAAGAATACACTCAAATTTTTTAGATGGTAGTCTTTTATGGTGATATAAATGTTTTTTTCTTTGAACTTAAATTTAAGCTCACAAATACTTAGCTTATAAACTAGGCTTAAATGAGTTCATAATTAAAGGTGCAAATAATAAAATAAAATTACGATACAAATCTAACTACGCCTTGCCTTGCCATTTATTTCCGTAAATATTTTGCATTGAAAATAGTTACCTTACATTTGCACGTGCTCTCATTTTTGTCTGCTGACACGAATTATAAATTAATGATTTAATTATCACGTTGATTAATTTATTTGCATGAAAGATTTTGCATTATCAGACTTGAGGGGTCTTACACCAAGAATGTCAACCGTCAGGTCGAGATATGCTTTTATGTGAACAATAGTAACAAACATGCTTTTCAATTGCTCTATTGATATTTTAATAATGAATTAATTAAAGGATATCTAGTCACCCATACTCCCACAATAAATATATTATCAAAGAAAACAAATAAGTGAACGATTACCTCATATGTATTTTTTCTTAAATCACCCACTTGCATTTTTTTTAAATGATCCAGTGAACGACATCTTTCCATTCCGTTTGAGAGCTTATTTGGTGCGGTGGCGTTTTGAAAACGCATCTAGATTATTTGGGTAAACTAAGTTTTGGCAACTTATGCGTTTTGAAAACCAACATTTTCACGTCGCACCTATCTAGATGCGGTGACAGCTTACTTGAAACGGTCTGGCTTTTCCAAAACAATAAAATTTTATAATACCCACCGCACATAACTTATCAGCAAATAATTTTTAATCATCTTATCAACAAATTATTCAATAAGTTATGGTTGTCCCAAAAAGACCCCTCACCTACACCAAATATTTTCTCTTTCGGAAGATTCATGACTAAAAGCTTGCATACAAAAATAATTATAATAACTCCCTCATTTATATTTATAACACTTTATATTTATAAACTTATGCTTAAAATATAATAACTATATTTTTGATTTGTTGTTATGCATATAAATACGAAATTTTTTGCATTAAATATGAAAAAAAAAATTATTCTTTTTTTTTTCCCAATATATATAGAAAGCAATCCCATTACCCACTCCAAGACTAATCTCCAAAGCCAAACCCTTCGTCCGCTTCCTTCTTTGTTCTACCATGGCCTCAGAAATCCGGCCGCAGGACAATGGAACGATTGCAGTAGTAACGGTCCCTCTCCCCGCTCAGGGACACCTCAACGTTCTCCTCCACCTCTCCGCCCGCCTCGCCACCCACCGCATTCGACGTCCACTACATCAGCTCCGCCACCCACAACCGCCAAGCCCGCCAACGCCTCCATGGCTGGAACCTCTCTGCTTTACAGACTTCCTCCCACCTCCACTTCCATGATCTCCCCTTGCCCTCCCTCCCCTCTCCTGCTCCCAATCCACTCACCCATAAATTCCCCACTCACCTCCAACCCGCCTTCGACGCCGCCACCTCCCACCTCCTCCCCCACCTCTCCTCCCTCATCCTCTCCCTCTCCCTCTTCCACCGCCGCGTCCTGCTTCTCCACGACTCCTCCATGTCCTTCGTCAGCGCCGCCGCTTCCCCTAAAACAGAGTCCTTCGTCTTCCACGCCTCTTCCGCCATCAGCAATCTCTTCTTCCACGGCAAAGCCGAGCTCTGCCGCGCAAAGTTCGGTTCTTGCTTCAGCGAGGAGTTTGTTGAATGGGTCCGGAGGCAGGGGAGGTTCCCAGAAGTCGTAAAGGGCAGGCTTTTCAATTCTTGCCGGAGCATCGAAGGCGAGTTTCTGAGCCGACTTTCGAAAGAACCGGCGTTCAATGGGGACAGGATATTTGCCGTCGGGCCGCTTAATCCGATTGCGGCGGATAGGCGGGAGAGGGAAGATGAGTGTTTGGAGTGGCTTGACCGGCAGCCAGCGGCGTCGGTGGTGTACGTCTCGTTCGGCACAACCACGTCCATGTCGAGGCGGCAGGAGAGGGAGATTGCGGCGGGGCTTGAGGAAAGCGGGCAGAGGTTTATTTGGGTTCGCCGGGAGGCGGATCGCTGCGATGTGTTTGAGGCTCGGGAGGAAGGAGAAGAGGACATGGATTTGGCTGAGTGGGAAGAAAGGTGACTCCTTTAGAACATTTGATATAAAGGGATTAATTACTTAATTGTTCTTATGCTTTTTAATTTCAATTAATATATATATATATATTAAAAAATAAATTAATTGAAATTAAAAAGCATAAGAACAATTAAGTAATTAATCCCTTTATATCAAATGTTCTAAAGGAGTCACCTTTCTTCCCACTCAGCCAAATCCATGTCCTCTTCTCCTTCCTCCCGAGCCTCAAACACATCGCAGCGATCCGCCTCCCGGCGAACCCAAATAAACCTCTGCCCGCTTTCTTCAAGCCCCGCCGCAACCCCCCTCTCCGGCCGTAAACAGAAATAGATATTTTAATATAAATATATTCTAAATAGCAGAAGTCTTAAGGGAGGAGCTTATAGAAATGTTAAAATAATCTCCATACTTTTTAAATTTTAGTTGAAATAGTTCGCTAAGAGGATTATACATTAGAGCTCAATTTTTAAATAGTTGTAAAGTATTTTAACACTTGCATAAATTATGACACTGAAATGAATCTATATAAACAATCAAAATATCATTTTGATATTTTACTTGAGTTATAGATCAGTAAAGACTAAAGAAATATTACGTACAGACAATATAGGTATGGATAAGTGCAGCTTTAGTAGTATTGTGATTGTATTCCTCATCATGTCACCACAATACCACCAATCCACACTATGTTATTCGCACAAACGTGAGAAATGGACATCTTTTTTGGTAAAAAAGCTTTGGGTGGCCTTGGCCTCTCTAAAATTGATAAATATATTTTACTTAATTATATATAATATAAAATTATATTTTAAGTTGTTTGTAATTATATATATTATAGAACAATCCTCTTCTCCTAAATTTATGATAAATTATCTTTCATTTATTTGAAATGTTAAATTCTTTTTGCTATCATAACAAAACATATTTAATTATTTTAAATTTTAATCGTACTGAAATTTGATCATAATATCTTATTTAAAAAGCTTACTCCCGCTTGGCTTAGCTTTTTAAAGCAATTATATCATGCACTTATCTCTAAACAAATATAATTAATTTAAATAAACAATCACTTCTATATTGCTCTTATCTCTAAATAGATAAAGTAGTCTTAAATCACATGCTAACCAAATCTTGCTTAAGATATTCTACCTAATTTTCTTTTTATTTCAATAATAATAATACTAATAAATCCATAATATAATAATTTGATGGGGGGCAATTACATCCATATCACTCAAAACTTGGTTTTTAACAAACAGAGATGTTAACAATATGATTTTGAGTTGAGTTAGGATCGGCTCAAAATTGATTTGAAAAAAAATTTATCCAAAATTTTAGCTCATAATTTGGCTCATTTATTCCAATCTGTGTCAATTTTTGAATCAATCTTTGAGCAATTAATGATGTTTGAGCTAAATTTGCTAAGTTCACCGCCTTTATATCACTAGGTTGTTAGCTATCCGATTTTAGCTCATAGCTCAGCTTGTTTATTTTGATCGAGGCCACAAACCAGATCAATTTTCATGTGATTAACAATTTCCAAGGTAAATTCACCGCCCTATTTACAAATCAACCAACGTCTCTCATCCATTTTTCAAATTCTCACTCAAATATCAAAGTCCATGGTAAAACACCAACTCATGTTTTTCATCTTTTTTCAGCTTCTTAATAATTTGATTGTGGCACATATAAACACATCGATTCGATAGTCCGAAAAAATCACCTCCATAATTAAATTTTAAACATAAATTTTAACGTGTAATATTATACTTATCTCATATTCAATTAAATTTCTCAAAATCCAAGAATATTATTATATACTGACCCTATTATTTGAACAAAGGATGAAGAAGAAGGGCATGGTAATCAGAGGCTGGGCCCCGCAGCTGGAGATCCTCGCCCATCCCTCAACCGCCGGCTTCCTGAGCCACTGCGGCTGGAACTCATGCATGGAGGCGATGAGCAACGGCGTGCCGATCCTCGCGTGGCCGATGCACTCCGACCAGCCGGCGAACACCGTTCTGGTTACAGAGATCCTGGGGACGGGATTGGTCGTGAGAGAGTGGTCGGAGAGCAACGAGGTGGTGGCGGCGGCGGTGGTGAAGGCGGCGGTGGTGAGGTTGATGGCCGGAGATGAAGGCCGGGAGATAAGGAAGAAGGCGAGAGAGGTGGGGGAGGAGCTTCGTGCTGCAGTAGGGGTTGGCGGAAGTTCCCGCCGGGAGTTCGATTCGTTCGTGGCGTATATTTGTCGGCCGTCAGATATATGATGTAATGTGATTGTCCGATGCTTATTAGCCGTTCCGATAAAAAAATAACAATGAATAAATTTATTGGAATTTATGTATTTTAGGGTCTGTTCAGGGCATCAACGTTGTCTCATGAAGCTGCTGCGGGAAGCTGACTTTCTGTTTGTTGTATTTCTATAAACATGATCATTCTACCACCGTTTCTAAAAGTTGTTTAAAATAGAACCGTGACAATCACGTATTTGATGCTGCAGAAGCAGAAAATAATTTCAAAAAATAACAAAAATTCAAATACACAACTCACTTAATAGTCAGCATCGAGAGTGCTAAAAATTTTTATTTGAAAAATTGCAGTCCATAAAAAAATAATAATGAATAAATTTATGGGAATTTATGTATTTGAGTCTGGTCGTCCGACCAATCATTCATTATTTAAAATGTTTTTAAATTTTTATTATAATTTAATTATTTGGGTTTTCCATATATTTTTACTGTAATTATCTTATTAGCCGTCTCGTTAACAAAATAATAATGAATAAATTTATGGGAATTTATGTATTTTAGGGTCTGTCAGGAAGCTGCTGCTGGGAAGCTGACTTTCTATTTATTGTGTTTCTATAAAAATGATCATTCTACCACAGTTTCTAAAAGTTATTTAAAACAGGACTGTGACAACCACATATTTAATATTTCAGAAATAGAAATTCATTTCAAAACATAACAAATTTTTAAATACACAACTCACTTAATAGTGAACACCGAAAGTGCAAATTGCAGTCCGATAAAAAAAAATAATTAATTAATTTATGGTAATTTATGTATTTCAGTCTGGTCGTCTGACCAATCATTGATTATATAAAATATTTTTAAATTTTTATTATAATTTAGTTATTTGGGTTTTCCATATATTTTTACTGTAATTATTTAACATATAAATAGATTTAAGATTAAACTAAAAAATTAAATTATTGAAACTATTTATTGAGAGAAAAATAATAGATATATACATAAATGATAAATAATCAAATTTTAGTTTGATGAGATTTAATTTAAAAATGCTCTAATTAAATCTTTAAGTGTAGTTTTTTTTTTTTTTTTTTTTTTTTTTTTTTTGTATATATAAAATCAGCATAATAAAATTTAGTTGTAAGTTAATAACTATGATCAATTTAAAATAATTGGTATACTTTTGGAAGTAGTTATGTAGAATTAAGAATTAATATTTCTACAATCTCTCCTAATTTAAACCTATTATTCATCTCATATATTTGTGCATCTAAATTGGCTATAAAAGTCAAGTTTATAATGATGTTCTACTATAATGATGTCTTTTTATATAAGTTATCTCATCATTTAGAAGGAACATTCATGTATAGAATATGTATGTCCTATTTTTCATAATATAATTTCACGATGTCGAAACGAACATTCATATTTTCATTTAATTCTAATAAATTAAGATCAGAATACATAACATCATCAAATTTCTTTTAAGTTTTAAAGAAGTTGTTTTATTGTTGATTCTAAATGCATTGCTTTAAGGATATCTCGTGACTTTAGTTATAATTCAAGAAATACAAACCAAATTAATTATAAGAGAACAATAGGTGAATGATTAATAGATTAGAATAACAACTCTTGTTGTTGTGCTAAATAAATAGTATAATATTCAAAAATATAATCTTTGATGAATAAAACTTGCAACTAACCCGACTTTACATGGGCTCACGCAAGTGCACGTGTCATTTAAATCATACAATAGATTTGAGTCTGAAGTCATTCCAAGAGGTTTTAAAGATGAGTTTAGATTAAGGTCAAATAACGACTTTACATGGGCTCACGTAAGTGCACGTGTCATTTAAAACATACAATAGACTTGAGTCTGAAGTCATTCCACGAGGTTTTAAAGATGAGTTTAGATTAAGGTCAAATACTAATTTAATCATCTTAGGTTTATACAAAAAAGTTGATTATTTTGAAAAAGTGTTTTTTTTTTTTTTTTTTTTTTTTTTTTTTTTTTTGGGTATATAAAATCAGCATAATAAAATTTAGTTGTAAGTTAATAACTATGATCAATTTAAAATAATTGGTATACTTTTGGAAGTAGTTATGTAGAATTAAGAATTAATATTTCTACAATCTCTCCTAATTTAAACCTATTATTCATCTCATATATTTGTGCATCTAAATTGGCTATAAAAGTCAAGTTTATAATGATGTTCTACTATAATGATGTCTTTTTATATAAGTTATCTCATCATTTAGAAGGAACATTCATGTATAGAATATGTATGTCCTATTTTTCATAATATAATTTCACGATGTCGAAACGAACATTCATATTTTCATTTAATTCTAATAAATTAAGATCAGAATACATAACATCATCAAATTTCTTTTAAGTTTTAAAGAAGTTGTTTTATTGTTGATTCTAAATGCATTACTTTAAGGATATCTCGTGACTTTAGTTATAATTCAAGAAATACAAACCAAATTAATTATAAGAGAACAATAGGTGAATGATTAATAGATTAGAATAACAACTCTTGTTGTTGTGCTAAATAAATAGTATAATATTCAAAAATATAATCTTTGATGAATAAAACTTGCAACTAACCCGACTTTACATGGGCTCACGCAAGTGCACGTGTCATTTAAATCATACAATAGATTTGAGTCTGAAGTCATTCCAAGAGGTTTTAAAGATGAGTTTAGATTAAGGTCAAATACTAATTTAATCATCTTAGGTTTATACAAAAAAGTTGATTATTTTGAAAAAGTGTTTTTTTTTTTTTTTTGTTTCTAATTTTTATGGAGTTTTAGATGTAATAAGCTTCTTCTATGGATTCTCAATTGATTAAAAAAAAATGCATGAAAAAGGATTGAACAAGATAAGTTGTCAAGCAGGTGAAAAAATGATTCACTGCCTCCATGGATAGTAAAAATAACTCTTAATTTTCAAAATCCAAGACTATATGTCTATGGTTAAAGTAGTTTCAAAATTTGAACAAAAAAATTTCCTCCAATGGTTGTAGAGCTTTAAGTACATTATGTCTATTCCCATAAAGTTAAGTTGTGAATCTCCGAGTGTAACTAATAACTCTATCGATATCTTAAACTCGCACTACATTTTAAATATTAGTGTTGTTATGTGTTGGAAGATTCACGATGAGATTGTGATTATCTATTGTCTTAGCAACATATGAAATTCTAGTTTATACACAAATAAGAGAAATAACACGTAATGACACTAGAAGTTCTTACTTGAAAAACCCGAAAAGAGAAAAAAAGTCATGGGGTTTAGCACAGTTAAAATGATCCACAATAAGTTTATGGATACACGTATAGAACCTTAACTCACAGATGGGAAAAGATTATGAAGCCCCTCCAAGTATGTTGTCAGTAAGCAGGAGGGTTTGTTGTACAATGGTCGGGAACAATTTCTATCAGGAGTGATCGTCAGAACATTAGTGTGTCGTCTATAGGCTATGTTGTTGCACAACATTAAGAACACTATGCTGCTCGTTAAGGTGCATAACTACTCTGTAACGTACGTTGTTAATTTGTCTAGGATTTCGTTGTAATGTATGATGTTAATTCTCATGACATATGCATTACTTTGCAGGATTTGCCAATGACAACTAGCTGTGAGTGGCCAACGGTAGTTGATGGCGATAGATGAGCGACGTTCAATGTCAGTCGATAGCTACAGGAGTGATCAACGAGTCTTCGAATCCAAAATGGCTCTCAAATTCCACCCTTTCTCCTTTAGGTCCAGTTACCCTTCTAACTCTTTTTCCCTTTTCATGATGGGAGTAAAGCTCTATTTATAGAATATAGGAGTGTCATCCACTTTAAATAAGATAGGAATTAAGGCCACTCCATTAGAAGGCTACCTAGAACGAGTACCTTGAGCTAATAGTCACTACATGAATTTAGAGTCTGTTTGAGGTAGCTACAACTTATCTAGCTTATTCAGATAAGTTGTTGATCCTGATAAGTTGTTGATCAGGTGCTGATCCAGATAAGCTGACTATTTGGTTTGTGTATTTGAAAAATAGTTGATTTGCAGATGCTTCTGGATAAATGATCATTCCACCCCTATGTAGTTGTGTTATTTGCAACAAAACTATCATGACTATATATTTGATAGTTTAGAACAAAATAACCACTTCATATTAGTACAAAAAATAAGATAAAGACCTAAAAATAAAATATTACAAAAAAAATCATCAAATTCAATAAATAATAAAAACGAATCTTGCACCAATTCCACATGAAGAAAATCAGTGCTAATATATGTATGCATTAATTTTCTAATAAGAACAAAATGGTCAACTAGTTAGCCAGAAATGCCGCACTGGAATCCAAAATTCTAACATCCACATTTGGAAGGATGGTGTGAACATGCTTACTTTTCCTGATGGTTTATGGTAGGAGTGGAGCTGAAGGATGAGAAAGATGGAAGTATCACTGGTCTTTATATGTCGTGATCTCATCGTGGCCTTCCCTACTAGCTCTAATCGCGATTGTATTGTGAGATTTCATTCACGAAGACGATGGTTTTGGTCGAAGCCAGGAGAGCGGGAGTAATGTAGGTAAGGCTTCGACATGCGACGACGAGCGAGGCGATGTGCGACAAGTGGCGAGCATGCATATCCTTTGACCATCTTCTCCTCAACAACTCTTCTCTCTAGGACGGGACAAGGGCATACGAAGCGCAAGAGGGCGTCCTCGTAAAATATTTCACGCCAACGCATGCCATAGAGTCGAACCCGCAACCACGTTTAGTAAAAATTTTTCATAGATTGTCGCAAAACGCCTCCACACGCCCAAATCAAACGCCTCTGCCAGCGTTTTCAAAATGCACCGCAGCAAATAAGTTGCACTAAACGGGTCCTTAGCCTTTTTCTGACGATGATATGCTATCAGAAGTAATTATAAAATTGTCGATTATAAAAAACTGATGGCTTTTTGGCAGTTTATAGGGCGTAGATAATTAATATTTCGATAATCTTGTAACCTACAAGATTTCTGATAGGTTTTA